GAATGAGACTGTGTGCAGGAGGGCATAGCTGGAATATACTTGTCTGCCCTGATCAGGCTTTAGCTTCGGATCAGCGATGACAGCCCATTACGCAGTATTTTCTTCTGCTAGGCAATCGTGAGTGCTTTGTATACATTATTCTTAATTGCACTCAGACAATGTGTCCATTACTGCTGCTCTAAAGCAAAACAGCACCAAAATATGAGTGCGCTGGAAGTGAGTTTGGGAAAGCACTGCTAGAACTGGGGTGGGAGAGCTTCTGCTCTGTTTATTTGTGCCAGCCCTGGCTCACAAGCACTGTCATGCTCCAGGTTCACTTTTTTCTCCTGTTTCCTGCCCAGGCAGTGAGGGGCAAGACAGGGAGAAAGAGGGGCAGCCCGTGAAATGACACAGATAGAAAGCGGAGCATTTTTAGAAGAGCAAATGCATTCTAAATATATACATGCATTTTTTGCTTGTGATTTTGTTTCTTTTAAATCATTAGAAGTGAGGTGAAAAACCCATGCGGTTGTCCTTGTTTATGTTTTGCCTTTACATTTTGCCCCTGTGTCAAGCCTGAGTGATGGAAATCCTTAAGGTCAACCACACTTTCAGGCCCCCCTTACTCTGCTGTGGAAATTAGGAATGCTGCAAGGAAAACACATTTCTGTTTTCTGACCACTGTTTTCATTTGAATTTGCAAATAACGTGGAAATGTTTCTGTTGGCTTTGAGTTTGACCAAAGCTTGTTTTTACAAATGGTAGGACCAAGTTAAAGCAGCCATGGGGGTTTGGATCTCCTGGCTCCAGCACTTGGGATGTGCTGCTTCTGAGGAGTGGACTGCAGAGCCTCCCTCGTGTGTGCAGCAGGGTGCGGGGCAAGGCTTGCCCTGTGGCCACCGGCATTGATGCCAGCCAGAATTGTAGCCCCAGGTGAAGCTTCAGTAGCCCCCACTGCCCTCTCACTGCCCAGTGGTTAGTTCCTACAGCCAATATTTAGGACAGCGCATTTCTGCTTCATAAAAGAGGCCGTGCAAATAGAAGAAACCATTTTCTGAACTCCCTGTATGCACCGAGTGACACCACTCTTAACGGCATGAACTGTACAACACACATTATTCACGTCTGTTTATCTTTCTCAGTTTTGGCCTTCAAATGGTTTTGGTATCATATGGCTGCATGCATATGCATCTCAGCGCAACTGAGAAAGAAGATAAATCTGTAGTTCACCTTGGCCACCAGACAGCATCAGGTTTGCTTTCTGACTGGCCTATGTGAATCAGGTATCCCGCTCCTCCAGCTGTAAATCAGGCAGCTGATTAATAATCACAGTGAGAGAGATAATTAGTACTGGCATGTAGCTGCTTTATGGATCTCTCTTTTCTGGGAGCCAAATGCAACCATATGGAAAAACATAGCCGAGACACTATAAATATGATTCCACTTAGACAGTCATCTCTTCTGTTTTCTGTTATCACAGCAGTGTCAGCACAGGAAAACAATGAAAGTGAAGAGATGCTCTTGCAGATTTTATTACAAGTTTGAGGGCTCGGGACTTTTTTTTTTTTCTTCTTCAAGGACACTGTGTTAACCTGAAGAAAGAGGGCTTGATTTGTGTTCGTTTATGCCTGCCACAATTATTTAAGAACCAGCTCCAGTGCTCATACTTGAAGAGCTTTCGTTCTCTTTTAACTATTTCTGGCAGAGCTAGAAAGATCTGCCTTGTGCTTTGTATCATGACAACTTGTCTTCTCCAATAAGCCACATCTTAAGCTGTGTCAGCCCTCTCTCCATTCAAAGTAACTGTGTTCTGTTCATTGCTGTTGGATTGATGCTGTTGACTGGGTGTCTGCAGTGCAGCCAGCAGCAGCAAGCAAGGATTTCCACAGAAAATGAAGCCTTTCGTCGTGAAGTGCAGATGGGCACCAGGCAGCAATTGAATCCATGTAGCTGGGAATCTTTGGGCAGAGCCTCCTCGGATCTTCCTGTTGATCTTCCTGCAACACACTAAAAATAAAAAACCAGATCTTCTTCTGAGGACCCATTCACAAGGCTGGTGCCCTAATATCAACTTCTGAAACTTTACCGGCAGAGTGAAAACAGACGAAAATAAAGTAAAATGTGGAGTAAGAATATCTCTTACCATATTCTGACTCTTTGCAGGATCTCTGTAAGGCAGATTGTCTTTTGACAACAGCAAACAATTCACCCCAAAGTCATTTCCTTGCGTGTGTTTCATTGTGGTGGCTTTTTAGACTATTTTTACCTATTTTGTTGAACACTCATAGACTGGATTAGTAAATGTCACCCCACTGCAAGTGGGAGAGGCCAAGGATGTCAGGGAGCTGTTTTCCCAAAATGCCGTGTTGGAAAAGTTTAGGTAGGCTGCAAGAGGGGGAGGCCTTTGTAGTTCTGCTCCCAATGAAATCTAAAGGAGAGCATCTTGCTGGGATGTGGGATACTGGCAGGGTGCGCAGCTCCCAGCAGCTCAAGCTAATGAGGGAATCAGACCCTTTTTTGGTGGAAGGAATGGGAAAATGCCTGCTACAGTGGAGGTGGGAGAGCTCTTACTTTCTGTTTTACATTATTATTGTTGCAGTCTCATCTTGGAATAGTTGCCCCAAATAGCTTTTTGTTGTTCTTTTGAAATAGTTGACCAGCCTTCTCTTCCACAGGAGTATTTTCTTTTGAGACACCTCCTTTTTCTTGTGAAAGGTTTTAGAAATAACTTCTGACACATCTATTCCCATTCAAACCCTAAAACATATACAAAGCCCTTACACAGCTGCATCAGTATCATAGAATCATAGAATCATTTACGTTGGAAAAGACCTTCAAGATCATCAGGGCCAACCCTTAACCTAACCCTGCCATCCCACCACTAAACCATGTCCCTAAGCACCTCGTCTGCCTGTCTTTTAAATACCTCCAGGGATGGGGACTCAACCACTTCCCTGGGCAGCCTGTTCCATGCTTGACAACCCTTTCATTGAAAAAATTTTTCCTAATGTCCAGCCTAAACCTGCCCTGGCACAACTTTCCCCTTGTCATATCGCCCATTACCAGGGAAAAGAGGCTGACCCCCACCTCACTACAGCCTCCTTTCAGGTAGTTGTAGAGGGTGATCAGGTCTCCCCTCAGCCTCCACTTCTCCAGACTATGTATCTGTATGATACAGTTTGGGTTGGAATTTGTTTTTCCTCTTTAAGATGGAAGTTGCCAGAAGCACTATGAGGTAAATGATGGTAAAACATAATTTAGTGCTAAAAAAAAAGTATTTAATTCAATTGCCTCTCATAAAAAGCCAATACCATAAGAGAAATTAAACTGTTGCTCCAAAGCTGATTTAGAGAGCCCTGTGACTTGTCCTTATCTCATCTTTGTGTCCCAGGAACTTCTTCCATAAATCATTTCTCTTCCAAGGCCTCTGTTCAGTTGTACTACTTCTTTTTCTGACACTTAAGCCACTAGCATTGTGTACTGAATGTATTATGCATTGCCTTTTGTGCATGCCATATATTACAAAGAGCTTTCTCTCCCTAAGGGTTTCTGCAGCTATTTCTGTGAGTTCATCCTACAGGGCACTTTTATGAAAGTCATCAGTTAGCCTTTGCTATGAAGAAGGAGATAACAGTAACTGAAAGCAGGCCAAACTCATTAGATTATGATTAAAAGGCAGATTACTTCTTTTAATGTAGTGAATGAGGTTCTAGTGGGTGGGCATTGGGCAGAAGTGGTGCTAGAGAAAAGTCACAGGTGCTGTGTTCTTCAGCCACTCTGTCTCTTCAGTTGGTTTATAGCTTTAATTAAATACTGACTCATGAAGAGCACAGTGACCTTTAATTTCATTCAAGTGACTTTCTTTAACAAGTCTTAAGAAATTCCATGCATGTTCCTGCCTTTGCTGTCGAAGATGAATCTAGAGCAGAGAGTTGGGACCACAAGTAAATTGTTTCAAAGCAGGCTTGTAATTTGCCTCTCACTATGCTGCATCTTCAGCTTTTCTGGGAACTTGCATGTCTCCACCAGAAACAGAGGATTTTGCCACGGCAGAGGTTGAGTCGTGATTTAGGATTTGGATTTTCCTCTGGAATTACTTTAGAACCACCCTTGAGCTCCCCAAACTGGTCCCAGGCTGGCCAAAGGACCTTGGTCTGAGGTCTGAGGACCTGCGCTCAGTCATTTGGTGGGAGCCCCATGCTCTCTCCTTGTCTCTGGCAAGGCTGCAGGGCCAGTGGGACCCCTGCCAAATCCTCTTACACCTCTTCCTCCATCAAGGTGACAACACCTCTATTTTAGCTTCTTAACTGAGCTGGAATAGCAGAGATGGAAACTTCACTTCCATGGCTGGATTTGAAAACAATTAATCAGGAGCAGTTTACAGAGTAAATGGTTTGTATGGGCACCACGTGGGGACTCGATTCCCACAGTCCCCAGCCATTTGACTCCCCACCTGCAACCCTCCCTTCACTGGTTGCATTGGCTTCTACCTGAAGGGCAGACCCTGCCTCCTATGAAGGACCACAGCGCTGTGCTCCTGGTGTGACCACCTTGGTGACCAGGAAGATTTGTCAGGGTGCAGGGCTGGGTCAGGTGCCTTTTATTTCACCAGCAGACCTGGAAAAGCTATCAGACCTCACCCTGCTCTTTTTTATTGACCACAGGCAAGGGGAAAATTACAGATTGTAGCCTCTGGATTAATTAACCACCTCCTATTCCTGTTTATAACATGAGACTACAAGCAAGGCTGTGGCTGTCTATTTTTTCTTGACCAGCAGTAGTCTTCCCATGTAAGGTGGTAATTCAGCTAATTTGGAGGACAGTTTTTCTTCTTTTTGATTCTGTGTAGCATGACGGGACTGGCATTTTTCCCCTCTTGTTAAGCATTCATATTTCATCGGCAACCGCGATTGCCACAGTTTGCACTCTGAGTGGTTCCTCAGCACTAGATAACTTCCATAGGTACACTACATTTAAACACAACTTGTTATTATGTCTCCCTCTCCCTCCCTTCTCCTTAGATGTAAAGGAGCATCCCACTATGGCCTTACTAAGGAACGGAAGAGGCGTTCCCAAGACTGCTCTCCAGACCATGACTCCAGCTTAGCAGTAGCCGCCCTGGGCCCCGAGCTCTCGGCAGCTGCGGCCATCGCCTTAATGACAGATGAGCCAGGGCTGGTGAACCCAGCCTTCAGCCCCACCTTGGAGGACAGCCAGTCGGGCAGCAGCCCCGGAGACCTGCATCGCAGCAACCGAAACAGAAGTAAGAACTGAAAGTGATGGTTCCAGAGCCTGGTGGCCTCTTTCAGTATTCATTTTCTGTGAAATGCATGTTGTTGGAGGCTTAAAAAAGAAAAAAAAAAAAAGGGAGAGTGAAAGCTTTAATTTTACATGGTTTGTCAAATTGTGCACTCAGCGACCTAATAGATTTGAGGTGAAAAACAAATTTGCTTGGCCAGGGGCAGCATCAAGCTGAAGATGGACTAGCTGCACACATACAAACTGCAGGTCTTCAGAAAGATTATTTAGGCAAGTCAGCTCAGCGGGAAGAGCAAATGGCATGTGTGATGTGCCAGAGAGATGGTGTAGCCGTGTAATGGCTTCATCAAAACGTGGCGGCCCAAGTAACCCCCATAGACCATGCCATGAGCACCTACCCAAAAGCCTGTTGAGAACTATGTTTGGCAGTTGCCAAGTATTTTCAGGAAAACAAACCTTAATAAGTGCCCTAGGAGCTTGGGGATGTTTGCCAGCCTCCCAGGGAGGTGTGGCTTGGAGGAGCTGGTACTGCTGAAATAACCACAGTCAGGGACAAATTGCACCAAGAATCCTTGCCTTGATTCTTCACCCTGTGGCAGAGCACCCGGCTCTGATGAGTGTCATATTTGAAAAACATGGCCTGGCTAAAGGCAGACTTGGAAGTATTAACAGTGAGTTCAAAGCTTGCATTTGAGGACTCTGAGGCCAAAGTGAATATCCCACCTTGCGTTGCACCAGCTGCATGTTGGGAGGATGGATGAAGGGCTGAAGAAAAAGTAAAAAATGAGCATCACTCTCCCCTTATGTGCATGGGGCTTGAGAGGCGAAGGAAGGGAGGGGACAAGAGAACACCAGAATGAAGTTAAATCCTGCCAGTTTTATTGAGTTTAGAGGCCACAGACTGGTTTGAGGGAATGCTGTATTATTAGATTAGAATATCTGGCTACCATGAAGAGCTTGAAGAGACAGAGCAATAACAGCCATGAAGATATCTTCAGCA